GTCCAAAGCAATGAGACATGCTGGTAGAGTTGCCATGGGCATTCTTCCACACAGAGCATTAAAATACCTCTCTTTTCAGTGGGTTGCATGCATGATGATTACATGTTATTCTACCTCCTCTCCAACTTTAAAGGGATAGCTACACAATCAATTTTAGATACTTTCGGATGATTTGGACATGATGCGCGAAAAATGCTAATAACGGTCCCATGACTTGAATAGGATTTGTACCACAAATACTAAAACCTTAGCATTTGGAAGCTGTCAAGGAAGTAAATCCAAAGTGTGGATTGTTGTCATACCTTGTCCATGGACTGCTTACAGAATAAGGAAACCAATGTGTAATTTTGTAATTTGGGTGAACTATCCTTTTAAGAGATATCTGCAGTAATGCTCAATATCCCTTTTTACGATAAAGGGCTGTAAAAATACCATTCTTTGATATTGCATGCCAGGTAAGAACAATCCAGGTAAGCCTACAGACAAACTGACTGAATATACTAATGGACTTATAGCTAAAACTACCCTCGAGATCTCATTCAAAGTTATTTCTCATGTACAAAATCCAGTGAAGCAAATAACAAACAGACTGGGACTAATCACATCCCTTGCATCTTCATTTGTATTCTCATTACATCTTTTGTCTCACTATTATTACCTTCTGTCTACTGCAGTGGCCTAGATATAGCCTGCTCTGGGGTGGTCTCCTCCACAGAGAAGTATATACTGGATGTCCCTGGTAATGAGTCCTACTCCTTCTGGCCTGGGTACTGGATACTGATTTACACTAATGGAGCTGAGGAAAGCGGTCATCTTCATTCTGCCCACTCATAAACATAGTGAATTCATAAGTTAGGAATAAATGCCCCATAACAACAAGTTATACAAGAGTGGCTGTAGACTTATTAAGTATGCAATTGTGACCTTTAGCTTGCTGCCTACTCTCCGTCAGTGTGGCATCATAAAACATGACAGAGGGTTTATAATATCTAATATCCCTTGTTCACCAGCTCATCTCTGCTGTCAGAGTGAGGTCAGGCATCAGTGAACTAGGACTTTGTGTGTGTGTGTGTGTGTGTGTGGGTGTGGGTGTGGGTGTGTGTGTGTGTGTGTGTGTGTGTGTGTGTGTGTGTGTGTGTGTGTGTGTGTGTGTGTGTGTGTGTGTGTGTGTGTGTGTGTGTGTGTGTGTGTGTGTGTGTGTGTGTGTGTGTGTGTGTGTGTGTGTGTGTGTGTGTGTGTGTGTGTGTGTGTGTTTGTGTGTGTGGGAGGGGGGGTGGGGGGTAGCCTAGTGGCATAGTGCTTAAGAGTGTTGGGCCAGTAACCGAAAGGACGCTGCTTCCAATCCCCAAGCTGACTACGTCAAAAATCTGTTGATGTGCCCTTGAGCAAGGCACTTAACCCTAATTGCTCTTGTAAGTCGCTCTGGATAAGAGCGTCTGCTAAATGTAGAAAGTGTGTGTGTGTATGTTGGGCCCCATCTGCATGCTCCTTTACCTATCCCAGTGGTTCCCAACCTTTTTTGGTTACTGTGCCACCAATTAAATTTTGCTCTGACCGGAGTACCTCTGAAGTACCCACTCATGTGCATTCATTTTACCAGTAGGCCTATGGTCTCATGGGTCTTCTCGAGTACCCCCTGTAGATAGGCCAAGTACCCCCAGGGGTCCTAGTACCCCTGGATGGGAACCATTGATCTATCCTATCAGAGACGGTGACCCGGCCAAACTGAGGATGGATCTTTCCTGTGGCCCTCCTCTCCCCTTTTTCTCACCATTGTTCCTGAGTCGTTTAAAATGACCTTCTGCTTTCCTGTGCCAACAGCCATTTCTGATGAACTGTGCAGAGAGGAAGCTTTTCTCATGTGGTTATCTGGTCATGAGCCATGCAGTCTCTCCTGACGATAAGGCAGGTTCTATTAAAATAGACTCTCATTAAAGGGCCTGGGTGCTGGTTGGCGGTTGCTGGTTGTTCTACTTGGTATCATCATGGGGATCATTCAAGACACACTTCTGGGTTTCAGACATGAAACAAGACATTTGGCAGAAGGGGAGTTAAAAAATGTTATAGCCCTTTATATTGTAGGCTTACTTCCTCTGGGATTGCAATGCCACTGTTCCATTCTATGTTCCTTCAATATTGAGTTGGATAACATGGACATACAGCGCATTCCGAAAGTATTCAGACCCCTTGACTTTTTCCACATTTTGTTACGTTACAGCCTTATTCTAAAATGGATTAAATTGTTTTTCCCCCCTCGTCAATCTACACACAATACCCGATAATGACAAAGAAAAAACAAGGTCTGTTAAAAAGAAAGAGACATTTTTAAAAAACAAAAAACTCAAATATCAAATTTTACATAAGTATTCAGACCCTTTACTCAGTACTTTGTTGAAGCACCTTTGGCAGCGATTACAGCCTCAAGTCTTCTTGGGTATGATGCTACAAGCTTGGCACACCTGTATTAGGAGAGATTCTCCCATTTTTCTCTGCAGATCCTCTCAAGCTCTGTCAGGTTGGATGGGGAGCGTTGCTGCACAGCTATTTTCAGGTCTCTCCAGAGATGTTTGATCGGGTTCAAGTCCGGGCTCTGGCTGGGCCACTCAAGGACATTCAGAGACTTGTCCCGAAGCCACTCCTGCGTTGTCTTGGCTGTGTGCTTAGGGTCGTTGTCCTGTTGGAAGGGAAACCTTTGCCCCAGTCTGAGGTCCTGAGCGCTTTGGAGCAGGTTTTCATCAAGGATCTCTTTGTACTTTGCTCCGTTCATCTTTGCCTTGATCCTGATTACTCTCCCAGTCCCTGCCGCTGAAAACATCCCCACAGCATGATGCTGCCACCACCATGCTTCACCGTAGGGATGATGCCAGGTTTCCTACAGACGTGACTCTTGGCATTCAGGCCAAAGAGTTCAATCTTGGTTTCATTAGACCACAGAATCTTGTTTCTCATGGTCTGAGAGTCTTTAGGTGCCTTTAGGCAAACTCTATACGGGCTGTCATGTGCATTTTACTGAGGAGTGGCTTCCGTCTGGCCACTCCATCATTAAGGCCTGATTGGTGGAGTACTGCAGGTACTGCAGATGGTTGTCCTTCTGGAAGGTTCTCCCATCTCCACAGAATAACTCTAGAGCTCTGTCAGAGTGACCATCGGGTTCTTGGTCACCTTCCTGACCAAGGCCCTTCCCCCCCAATTGCTCAGCTTGGCCGGGCGGCCAGCTCTAGGAAGAGTCTTGGTGGTTCCAAACTTCTCCCATTTAAGAATGATGGAGGCCACTGTGTTCTTGGGGACCTTCAATGCTGCAGACATTTGTTGGCACCCTTCCACAGATTTGTGCCTTGACACAATCCTGTCTCGGGGGCAGTGTGTGACAGTGTGTGCCTTTCCAAATCATGTCCAAACAATTGAATTTACCACAAGTGGACTCCAATCAAGTTGTAGAAACATCTCAAGGATGATCAATGGAAACAGGTGGCTATAACGTATCAAAATGTGGAAAAAGTCAAGGGGTCTGAATACTTTCCGAAGGCACTGAATCTGATGCATTTGTTTCTGTTTAGGTATCCATCCACACACTTCTCTTTTGTAAGTGTTTGTCTTTCTTATAGTAACATAAGGATGCAGTAATAAATGAACAATAATCCGATCCCACATGTATTATGGGGTATATGTTAAACCATTTAACCTGCATGCATTTCTCTGGCATTCATTCCAGTCATACATGATAGACTTTAGATCACACTTCTGTGAAGGGTTAATAAATGGGGAGGGTTTAATGTACAACCCACCATCCCCTCATTAAATTACATCACCCGCAAAATTAGTTTAGGAGGAAGGCAAATCTTCAATCAATAACTGTTTTTAACTTACTTTCTCAAATTTGGTTTGGATAGGATTCGAAGTTATGTCGCAAGGAATATTATAGGTGAAATATAGTCTTTAATCTTATCTGTATCCGAAGCTGACTGGCCATGGTCCTCTGCGACAGCGAATAGCCTAACGGTTTCTGAGGCTCGACTGGCTCATTCTTCAAGCAAAAGCGGTTTGCCATCTGCAAAGCCCTTATAACTGCGCTGCATCACATAGGTTATAACCAGACTGCATCAGGCACCATATTTTGCAGCTGGGGAGTAAACCTATTGTACGAGTAAGTATGACATTCACTTTTGACTTTTGTAGTTTTGTAGTTTATGCTTTAGTTCGTTACAATTCATATTGTTTGTTTTCAAAACGAGATTTTTTATTGCAATAATAGGATAAAGAAGAAAGCATTTATTTGTTGAAGTGGTTCCATGGATAAAATGAAGCTTCTCGCAGTAACAGATTATGGCGCACAAAAGCATTACGCGCAATGAGTAATTACACAATCAACATAAAGCCTCTGGTAGCCTATAGCCCACATTAGATGGTATAATTCAAATAGACCATTATCAATATAAGTATATTCTTAATAAAGAAAGTCAGTGGTGACAACGCGAATAGCCACATCCACAATCCACTGTCTCAAATATTTTGTCGCTGTGTCACTCAGCTCAGAGGGACACATTGTGTATATTATGTTTAGAAGAGGGAAATAAGTCTCGATGTTGATGCGCATAATTTCCCCACCTCACCACAGATGATGCACCAGCACCTGTTGAACCCTGAAATGAAGATGGACAAAGGAAAATAGAATTGTGTCGTCGGTGATCCCCAGTTTCCTTACATGTCATCATCCACCCGCCCTGTTGCTGCATGGGAAATGCATTTAATTTATATTTCCCTCTGATCAAATGAAAAGGGATAAGAGACCCGAGGAGATAGCAGACGTGACAATCCAGAGGTCTTATTACATGTAGTAGGCCTAGCCCAAGAGACTGAAGGACTGAAAGGGATCATTAAGGGGCGATTGCAATCAAACCTATTGACTCTTATATTGCCTCTTATTGCAATATACTGGACTTGTCTGATTTAACTAGAATATTAACAAAAATGCATAGATCACAAACCCGTGCGTTGCGATAATGGACAACAGTGCCCAGTGCGTCCCAGACTTGCGCCTACTCAGTGCTGATGCTGACACACCACCTGCCTGTCACGAGAAAGAGCAGGTGGACAAAATGTCTTTGCTGATGCAGGACTTCACTGGAAATATACCCGAGATAAAAGATCCAGACGAGAATCAAAACTTTGGGTACCAGTGTATTACGGAGACTAATGGACCACTTGTTGAAATGGACAATGTCGTGATGGGTCTTAGATTTTATAATGGTAGCCAACCAAGGAATGACTCAGTAAATGCAAATGTTGATCAAAAGCATGGTTCATTAATACATTGTAATTCCCCACAAACCAACAAAGAGCAGCACTGTTCCATAGAGCGCGATGCGGTAGAGGAGAATTACCGCGCACAGGCTGACGTGGCGCACAACCTGGGATATTCCCTCTGCTGCCTGGATGACGAAACGCAAGCACAGAGCACCCCTCTCGTGTGTGAAGTCAGCGGAGGAGCTGTGAAATATCACTGTCTGATTGATAAAGCGAGTTCCCAGGTGGGGCATAGGGAGGGGAGCTCTGCGCCTGTCACCTATTGTATCACTGCAGAAGCACTGCAAGTACATCAGCGCGGACAGCCAGGCAGTGCGGGACAGACGGCTGTGTGGAGAGAAAGCGACGCAGACGCTACACAGGGAAACCCAGCACTGCAGTCGAGGCAGGAAGGATGGGGATGTGGAAACATAGTCTTTGCTTCTAAAGAGGAGACGGATTTAGTGATTGAAGTGTCTGGAAAGAAACTTGAAGCGCATAAAGCCGTTTTGGCTGAGAAAAGTGACTATTTCAAGGCGCGGCAGTCCCGAGACGTATTGCGAGTGAAGGGGGTGAGTTTTAAGACTTTGACCATTTTAGTGGATTACATTTACTCATGCCGAATGGAGGTTAGTAAGGATAATATTGTAGAGGTCATCACCGGGGCTAAAATATTACAAATCCCCTGCGCGGTTCAAGCTGCTGTCGATACAATGTCGGAGCAGATTACCGCGGAGAACTGCTATGAGATTTTGACAATAGCCAAAAGGCAACGTCTCAGCGAGTTGAAGGAGAAAGCCTACAAGTACATGAGTGACAATTTCTTGCAAATACTGCGGGATCCCGATGTCTATGGGCGTTTGACCGGAGGGGAGAGAGAACTCATTCTCACCAGGAGAATGGAGGGAAAGAGGGTGTTGATGGTGGCTGAAATCAACGAGGTGTATGACTGCGTCGGGAGCAGACCTCCAAGTCGTGAGAACAGTCGCCCTCAGAGCCCTCTATCCATGGTGTCCCTGAAGGAGAATCGTATGATCTACTATTACAACAAGGAGACAAAGGACTGGAAAGTGCTGACGAAGATGCCAGATGAAATCAACACAAAGGGCTCTGGGATATGCACCATGTACAATTACCTATTCGTGGCAGGTGGAATCAAAAGGCAGGACGACAAAGGCAAGGTCTCGGACAAAGTGTTCTGCTACAACCCTCTCACTGACAGCTGGAGCGAAATTCGACCGCTCACCGAGGGTCGGTCTCAGCTCAAGCTGGTGTCTATGGACGGCTACCTGTTTGCAATTGGAGGGGAATGTCTCTTCACGGTGGAGAAATATGACCCTCGCATGGATAGATGGCGCCCCGTGGCTCCACTACCAAAAGGAGCGTTTGCTATTGCGCACGAGGCAACAACCTGTAATGGAGAGATGTTCGTGTCCGGAGGCTCTCTATTTTATCGTCTGCTAAGATATGACACTAGAAGAGACGACTGGGAGGAATGCCCGTTCAATAACAGCAGAAAGAAATCCACGGACATGGTGGCATTCAAAAACTTCATCTACAGGTTTGACGTCAACCGTGACTACGGCGTCAACGTGTTCAAATACAACACTGTGGTAAAAATATGGCACAACAGTGCATCCCTGGAGCAGACCAACCCCTTGCCCTTTCGCTGTGCTGTCATTGGCAACACCATTTACTGTGTGAACAAGGCCCAAACATTGCAGTTTGTTGTGGAAGAGGAGAATGAACAGTTTTTGCCTGAGGCACAGGCACTCAAAGCACCTATAGAGGCTAAAGGTGCCCTTGTCCCATTTGTCCTGGCTCTGCCAAAGACAGCCTGAGACAAATGCACCACTTCTTTGGAGACTCACTAAAAGTGGCCTCAGAATTGTCATATGAGGACAAAATATGTTGTGTTTGATACAATACCCACTGGGCACACCACATAATTTCAACATGGATAATTGGGTAATATTTGGTTGAGAAGTTGAGATTACAACCTATATTCACCCGCTGAAAAAGTCCAATGTGTTATCACTCACTATGCTTTCAACCATCTAAAAGCACAACCAAATTCCAATGGAAAAAAAATGTCTGATTTTTGGTTTAGTTGCCATCCAAATGGCTATCACTGCGCTTTGAACCATTTAAAAGCACAGCAAAGTTAAAATGGGAATGCAATGTCAGATATTTTGTTTATTTATACAACAGATTAATGTATTATCACTGTGCTTAATCTAATAGCAGAACAAAAGCTGGATTGCAGTTGAAATTACATTAAAAGTACATGGTGCAAGTGATCAATGTCGTTTGAGATTCTGCACAGATTATTATAGCAATTGTGAAGCTCTCCACAGATCTGCAACGACCTATGCATGCTATCTTGAACATGCACGGTCTATATAATTACATAGGAATACATTTATAGTTACAGAAACATCCAAATGTGGCCATGGATGTTTTACTCATTTTAAGGTTGAATGTTACATTGGTTTGTAAAATAGCCTTAACTTTAGGCTATTTACTGTATTTCAAAAGTAATATTGAATTGTGTTTGGTTGACAATGCAACCAAATATCAACATTTAAAGGACATGTATATACTGCTTGGCTAGTTCTATCTGAGCCACTGGCTTAATCCCATTCTTATATTTTTATTTTTGGTTTAGTTGAAGACGTGAATCCAACATGTCATTTGTTTTCCCATCAAAAAGTTAATATGCTATTTATTGTAGTTCAAAAATGATATTGAATTGTGTTTGGTTGTAAACACAACCAAATATCCACAGTTGAAGGAGATGTATCTTCTGCTTGGATAGTTCCATCTGTGCCACTGACTTAGTCTGTCTTTAATCCCAGTTTGTGAACAAATTAATAATTTATATGTTGGATTCACTTCTCCATCTCAACCAACAATCTAAATTAAAGAATAGGACTAAATCAAATCAAACTTTAAATGCACTTCAAATTAAATTTTATTAGATTTAGTCCTATTCTTTAACTTAGATTTATGGTACTGCCTAGCCTATCATGTTTTTCTTCTGATAGCAGATACAGTATACTGATCAATTCATTTATTCATTTATACATTTATTTTGTTATCTGTTTTAACAACCCTTTTTTATTTTTGTACTTATATATTGCTTTTTTGTGGTGTGGTTTTCATATAAACCCTTGGGCTTCCAACCACACATGTGCACCGTTTTTTATTTTTATTTGTTTTTATCTGTATTGTTGTCTATCACTTGTTTTCTTTTGTGCAAATAAAAAAATACACATTTAATAAAGGTATAACGTTGAAGATCTGACATTGTTTTAAAGGTACAAATTCAACACATTTTATACAAGATTTGTCTATATTTAAATTTGGGTACCATAATGACATAATCCTGTGGTTGAAATTCCAATCTCAAAACAACAGTTGATGACTTTTTTCAAATCCAATGCATTTTCCACATACAGTGCCTTCAGAAAGTATTCACACCCCTTGACTTTGTACACATTTTGTTGTGTTACAGCCTGCATTTAAAATGTATTAAATGTAGATTTTTTTTTTGCCACTGGCCTACACACAATGCCCCATAATGTTTAACACAATTTTTTTATTACTACCTCATATCTGTACCCCACACATACAATTATCTGTAAGATCCCTCAGTAGAGCAGTGAATTTCAAACACAGATTCAACTACAAAGGCCCTGTAGATTTTCCAATGCCTCGCAAAGAAGGGCACCAATTGGTAGATGGGTAAAAAACAAAGCAGACGTTGAATATCACTTTGAGCATGGTAAAGTTATTAATTACACTTTGGATGGTGTATCAATACACCCAGTCACTACAATGATACAGGTGTCCTTCCTAACTTAGTTGCCGGAGAGGAAGGAAACCGCTCAGGGATTTCACCATGAGGCCAATGCTGAATTTAAAACAGCTACAGTTTAATGGCTGTGACAGGAGAAAACTGAGGATGGATCAACAACATTGTAGATACTCCACAATACTAACCTAACTGACAGAGTGAAAATAAGGAATAAAGATATTCCAACGCATGCATCCTGTTTGCAACAAGGCACTAAAGTATTACTGGCCAAAAATTTTGGCAAAAGAATACACTTTTGGTCCTGAATAAATCAAATCAATCAATTTTTTTTGCCACATGCGCCGAATACAACAGGTGTAGACATTACAGTGAAATGCTTACTTACAAGCCCTTAACCAACAATGCATTTTTAAAGAATTTTATTTTTAAGTGTTAAGTAAAAAAAAATAAAAGCAATTAACTAAAGAGCAGCAGTAAAATAAAATAACAGTAGGGAGGCTATATACAAGGGGGTACCGGTGCAGAGTCAATGTGCGGGGGCACCGGCTAGTCGAGGTAATTGAGGTAATATGTACATGAGGGTAGAGTTAAAGTGACTATGCATAAATAATAAACAGAGTAGGAGCAGCGTAAAAGAGGGGGGTGGGGGTAGGGGGGGCAGTGCAAATAGTCCGGGTAGCAATGATTAGCTGTTCAGGAGTCTTATGGCTTGGGGGTAGAAGCTAAGTGTTTGTATTTGTATTTATTATGGATCCCCATTAGCTACTCTTCCTGGGGTCCAGCAAAATTAAGGCAGTTATGCAACTTTAAAAACATTACAATACATGCACAGATTTCACAACACTCTGTGTGCCCTCAGGCCCCTACTCCACCACTACCACATATCTACAATACAAAATCCAAATTTTACTGCTTGCATTGTGGAATAGAGTTCCATTTAGTCATGGCTCTATGTAGTACTGTGCACCTCCCATCGTCTATTCTGGACTTGGGGACTGTGAAGAGACTTCTTGTGGCATTTCTTGTGGGGTATGCATGGGTTTCCGAGCTGTGCGCCAGTAGTTCAAACAGACAGCTCGGTGCTTTCAACATGTCAACACCTCTCACAAACACAAGCAGTGATGAAGTCAATCTCTCCTCCACTTTGAGCCACTTTGTTTACTCTCTGTGTACATCCAAGTCCCTCTTTGTGGCACCTGACCACACAACTGAACAGTAGTCCAGGTGCGATAAAACTAGAGCCTGTAGGACCTGCCTTGTTGATAGTGCTGTTAAGAAGGTAGAGCAACATTTTATTATTACAGACTTCTCCCCATCTTAGCTACTGTTGTATCAATATGTTTTGACCATGACAGTTTACAATCCAGGGTTACTCCAAGCTGTTTAGTCACCTCAACTTAATCAATTTCCACATTATGTATTACAAGAGTTTGTTGAGGTTTAGGGTTTAGTGAATGATTTGTTCCAAATACAATGCTTTTAGTTTTAGAAATATTTAGGACTAACTTATTCCTTGCCACCCACTCTGAAACTAACTGCAGCTCTTTGTTAAGTGTTGCAGTAATTTCAGTCGCTGTAGTAGCTGACGTGTATAGTGTTGAGTCATCCACATACATAGACACACTGGCTTTACTCAAAGCCAGTGGCATGTCATTAGTAAAGATTGAAAAAATGATGGGGCCTAGACAGCTACCCTGGGGAATTCCTGATTCTACCTGGATTATGTTGGAGAGGCTTCCATTAAAGAACACCCTCTGTGTTCTGTTAAACAGGTAACTCTTTATCCACAATATAGCAGGGGGTGTAAAGCCATAACACATCAGTTTTTCCAGCAGAAGACTATGATCGATAATGCCAAAAGCCGCACTGAAGTCTAACAAAACAGCCCCCACAGTAATTTGTGTAAGTGCTGTGCTTGTTGAATGTCCTTCCCTATAAGCATGCTGAAAGTCTGTTATCAATTTTGTTATTGTAAAATAGCATTGTATCTGGTCAAACACAATTCTTTCCAAAAGTTTACTAAGGGTTGGTAACAGGCTGATTGGTCGGCTATTTGAGCCAGTAAAGGCGGCTTTACTATTCATAGGTAGCGGAATGACTTTTGCTTCCCTCCTGGCCTGGGGGAACACACTTTCTAGTGGACTTTAATAGAAAATATGGCAAATAGCAGTGGCAATATCGTCCGCTATTATCCTCAGTAATTTTCCATCCAAGTTGTCAGACCCCGGTGGCTTGTTATTGTTGATAGACAACAATACTTTTTTCATTTCTTACACACTCACTTTACGGAATTCAAAATGACAATACTTGTTTTTCATAATTTGGTCAGATATACTTGGATGTGTAGTGTCAGCGTTTGTTGCTGGCATGTCAGGCCTAAGCTTGCTAATCTTCCCAATAAAAAAATAATTAAAGTAGTTGGCAATATCAGTTGGTTTTGTGATGAATGAGTCATCTGATTCAATGAATGATGGAGCTGAGTTTGCCTTGTTTCCCAAAAATTCATTTAAGGTGCTCCAAAGCTTTTTACTATCATTGTTTATGTAATTTATATTTGTTTCATAGTGTAGTTTCTTCTTCTTTTTATTCAGTTTAGTCACATGACTTCTCAATTTGCAATACGTTTGCCAATCGGTTGTACAGCCAGACTTATTTGCCATTCCTTTTGCCTCATCCCTCTCAACCATACCATTTTTCAATTCCTCATCAATCCACAGGGATTTAACAGTTTTTAGTCATTTTCTTAATGGGTGCATGCTTATTAGTAACTGGAATAAGCAATTTCATAAATGTGTCAAGTGCAGCGTCTGTTTGCTCCTCATTACACACCACGGACCAACAAATATTCTTTACATCAACAACATAGGAATCACTACAAAACCTATTGTATGACCTCTTATACACTATATTAGACCCAGCCTTTGGAACTTTGGTTTTCCTAGATATGGCTACTATATTGTGATCACTACATCCAATGGATCTGGATACTGCTTTCAAGCAAATTTCTCCACCATTAGTAAA